ATGTCTCACTCCATATACTGTCTCACCCCTCTCCACTCCTATATACTGTCTCACTCTCTGTCTCCTCACTATACTGTCTCCTCACTATATACTGTCTCACTCACTACATACTGTCTCCTCCTATACACTGTCTCACTCTCATATATACTGTCCTCTACATACTGTCTCCACTCACTATACACTGTCTCCAATCACTATATACTGTCTCCAATCACACTATATCTTATCTCACTACACCATATCCCTCTCTCCTCTCCTCACTATATACTGTCTCACTCACTATATACTGTCTCACTCACTATACCTGTCTCACTCACTATATACTGTCTCCTCACCTATATACTGTCTCCTCTTACATACTGTCTCACTCATTATACACTGTCTCACTCACTATACACTGTCTCCTCTATATACTGTCTCACTCCTATACACTGTCTCACTCCTACATACTGTCTCACTCACTATACACTGTCTCCTCACTATACACTGTTTCACTCACTATACACTGTCTCACTCACTATACCTGTCTCCTCACTATACACATGTCCTCACTATATACTGTCTCCTCACTATATACTGTCTCACTCCACCATCTCCATACTGTCTCTCACTATATACCGTCTCACTCACTACACTGTCTCCTCACTATATACTGACTCACTATATACTGTCTCGCTCACTAAACACTGTCTCGCTCATATATACTGTTCTCTCACTATATACTGTCTCACACTATATACTGTCTCCCCACTTTATACTGTCTCACTCCTATACTGTCTCCTCACTATATACTGTCTCCTCTATATACTGTCTCACTCACTATACACTGTCTCCTCACTATATACTGTCTCCTCACTATATACAGTACTGTCTCACTCACTATACACTGTCTCACTCACTGTCTCACTCACTATATACTGTCTCCTCACTATACATGTCTCTCCTATACACTGTCTCCTCACTATAAACTGTCTCACTCCTATATACTGTCTCACTCACTATATACTGTCTCTCCTATACTGTCTCACCTACTATACACTGTCTCCTCCTATACTGTCTCCTCTATATACTGTCTCACTCACTATACACTGTCTCACTCACTATATACAGTACTGTCCTCACTATACTCACTATATACAGTACTGTCTCACTCCTATATACAGTACTGTCTCACTCACTATATACTGTCTACTCACTATATACTGTCTCACTCCTTTATTCTGTCTCACTCACTATACACTGTCTCACTCCTATACAGTACTGTCTCACTCACTATATACAGTACTGTCTCACTCACTATATACTGTCTCACTCACTATACACTGTCTCACTCACTATATACTGTCTCACTCACTATATACTGTCTCATTCACTATATACTGTCTCACTCACTATACACTGTCTCACTCACTATATACTGTCTCACTCACTATATACTGTCTCACTCACTATATACTGTCTCACTCACTATATACTGTCTCACTCACTATACACTGTCTCAACTCACTCTCACTCACTATACACTGTCTCACTCACTATACACTGTCTCACTCACTATACACTGTCTCACTCACTATACACTGTCTCACTCACTATACACTGTCTCACTCACTATATACTGTCTCACTCACTATACACTGTCTCACTCACTATACACTGTCTCACTCACTATACACTGTCTCACTCACTATATACTGTCTCACTCACTATATACTGTCTCACTCACTATATACTGTCTCACTCACTATACACTGTCTCACTCACTATACACTGTCTCACTCACTATATACTTTATCAACTACTTTCTGCTACTTCTTTACTTAAATCAACACTTTATAAACTTGTTTCTATACTTTCAACCCAATTTAATGTAACCCAAATTAGGAGTTCACTTGAATACATAATCAAAAAGTTCACTATATCACATTATGTCAGACGTAAACACACACACACACACACACACACACACACTAGGAGTTCTGAAACCTTTAATAAGAATCATCTCTCACGCACGAGTTCCATTAATGAATAACACGAAGGTAGAACATGCATTGTGTTCAACCTCCCTCCCTCTTTCTCACCTCCTCCCGGTTTGCTGTGGCTAGATTACAAGCTGCATATTATAACAGGTGGACGAGTCACGAGCGAGCGGGGAGTAGACTTGAGCTTAGGTTCCTCTCTGGGAGTTCAGGTGATCACTCACTGCTAAATTACCACTACCACCACCTAGTTACCACAGTGAACCCATTTTGTGTTCAACTGACCACTGTGAGCCGGCTAGGTTTTCAACTAACCCCTAGTCATTTTCATGTTACACTTTAAACCCTGAACTTCAATCTTTCAGGTATGTTGAGGAGATGGACCTCACAACACGTAAATATTTTAGATCAAAGGTTCAAAGTTGGCATGGCACTGCTTTTGAGGCGCGCGCGCGCACACACACACGATTTTACACTGCCCACATGATTCTATACACCGGCCACACATTTATAGCAATGGCCATATTTTTACGTTAAATTACGTATCCTTTTCCCACCTCTAGTTTCAACCTGAGAGAGATATCCAGCCTCCCACGCGTGTCATCGGAGGTGAGGTGCAGCTACTGACGAAGGGGAGGAACGAAACGAGCCACCAGTCCCCGGCTAACACGCGAGAATTACACACCACCAACTCTGTAACTCCCTGGCCAAGTCAGTTAATAACACCTGACTGACCTACTGTACTGTATTTCTCAGGGCAGGTTCTCGTCCAGGTGTTAATTACCCCCCTCTGCCCCCCCCCCCTTCTTCCCTGGCGCCACCACCGCCTTTGTCTCGACTTATACGAGTGTGACAACACTTTTAAATTATTAAATCTATGGCGCAGTATTCTCACGCCTCTTTCCCCTGCACCCCACCATTGCTGCTGCTGCTCCTCCTCCTCCCAGTCTGTGTCCGCTGTGATTTTAGCTGCCGGAACCGTAGGAATGTGCAGCAAAGAATACAGCAGGGTTATGTGCAGAAAATGATGAGTACAGTACGTATCACTGTTTTGAATATGGATAGCTCCCAAAGGGACTCGATAAGGTGTGAACAACGTCTACCAGCAAATTGGATCAATCTCTTGCTGATCTACAGTTTCAAAACGCCAACCTCTAAGAAATTACTCGAGGGGGAGGGGGGGGGGGATTGTGGCATTGCGTCAATAGGAGCCAAGCGCTACCAAAATACAGATCACCTGAAAAATCTCCACCCAAGCTTATTTCACCCAACCTAACCACCCTAACGCAATTGGAGGGAGGGGAGGGGGGGGGTGAAGTTAGATTAAGTTAGCGTGGTTTAATCTCTAGGTGAAATAAGCTGGGGTGGTCATTCTTTTGGCGATTCCAAAAATACCTACGAGGAACACTCTAACACAGACACTTTTTTATCAAGACCAGGGAAGACGAGCGACAATATTAATACAAACTGGATCATTAATGACCATAAGACTACAACCGAGAGTGACCACACTGTTGATGCCATATTTAGTGCCACACCATCCTACACTTTCCATGAGACAACCCACTTCCATACAAGATCAGTGTGTGTTTAATTAAAGTACTCGCATTCGTTAAGGGTGTAACAAGCGTCCAAGTGGTGCAGGAAACATGGCCTCTTAGTACTCAAGCTTTAACTCTCCTCCACTCCTCCTACCTCTTACTTTCTAGTTCTGGTCTGTCGTCATATCCTCCCCTTCTCCTCCATCCCTTCTCTTCCTCCTCCTTTCACCCTCCCAGTCTGCACCACTGCCTGACTACTTGTGTGCCTGCCACCAGCGAGTGACATGGGGGAGTCAACTCTGCTGTAGTCACTCACAACCTGCACCAGCCATCATCTTCCGCCTCTCACTCGTCTACCAAACACAATAAATTCATAAAAAAATATATATCTAGCTACACATTACTCAGTCAATGACATTTACATAAGTAAAAACTCAATTTCTATGTAATTAAACAAATCAAACTCGACAGCTGCATCTTAAAGACTATACAAAAATATAAAGAAGGTTTAGTCGCGCTTAGAAAAATAAACGCAATGGTAGGTGATGTGTGAGACAATATCATAAAATCTCCCTGTGCTTCTGAGGTTTTATTAACAGGGTGTTCCAATAACCTGAAGTGATGCAAAACCTGGAAGAATGTGGGTTTTTTATAGGAAGCGGTTAATATTGTTGTTATTGTCCATTTTGAAGCTATCTGTATTTTTCTGATTAATTCAACTGTTTCAATATCAATAACGGATCGACTGAAGCATCACCACCCCAGCTTATTTCACCTGAAGATTAACCACCCTAACAGTATGTGAATCCCCTCCCCCCCCCCTCTTAAGTTCACAATGCTCTCACCCATCACCTGTGCATGTTAGAGGATTGTTAAAATGTCACACTATCAATTACTAAAGCTTTATCGAAAACCAATAAGAATCACTACCTGTTGGTTCTACTCTAACCAGCGTGAACACCGCAGCCTGGTAACATTTAGGTCCTCCCACTACACCAGGCTGAGGCGGTGTGGTGTTCGTGCTCCATTATTGAATTATGTTACGAGATAAAACCTAATGAGAATCAGACACCTATACCGTCCATTGTAGTTATGGCGGCGGCAATCACTCTATAACGACACAGTTAGATCAAGTCCCTTCAGGTTATATTTACGAACGGCGGAAGTATTAAAAAGTTATTATGCCCATCACACTACATCACAGAACACCACTACACTATACTACATCACACAACACCAACATCACTATGACGATTTTTCATTCGCGAACTATTAAAAAAAATTACCGCCATTATCATCATTAATCGATATCGTTCACTTGGTTAATTTATGGTGGACGGACAGAGGCCAGACACCCAGCAGGTTGGACCAATCACCAACACGTCCTCGCCCTGAGCTGTACTATCTCATTAAACTTTGATATAGTGTCTTACAGGAGTGTAGACGGAGTACTGTTGGTGAGAGTAGACACAACACTCACCCCGGTGGTTGGTAAACAGGTCATGGTAGCCGTCCACCACCGTCTCCACTAGACTCCCCATCTCCGCGTCTTGTACTGTAAACAAAGCAAAACAACATTAATTAACGCAAGTCTCTTCGATAAACCATATAGTAACACATACAATACCCCAGCAATAACAATACAATAAACAATTGTAAACAAAATGATAAAACACACAAACAAGAACGCGCGCGCACACACACACACACACACACACACACACAGTGCGTGTTTGGCAATATGTAAATTCGCAACACAACAATTTTCTTACAAATATATAAAATTTTAAACACTCTTTTAAATGTTTTCTTAATTTTTATGAGGGATAACTTTTCTTCGCGGACTGTTGCCGCCTGTTTGTCCTTCTCCTCAAATTAAATTCTGCAACATACCTGCCCATATTTTTTTCCAAGAATTTTGCAACATACACAAATCCTTACTTTAAACAACAAGATGATGATGATGATAATGTTATTAACAATAAAATAATAACAACAATAACGACCATATTACCACCACTACCCTCACAATCACCCATCACACACAAACACCGCCCCTTTGTACCGAGACCTCAACAACTCAATGGGTGGCGAGTGGGTGACAAGGAGCCGTGGAGAGCGTGGGCGTAAGGGTGATGGCTGGTAGAGGCTGGCGGGCGGCGGCTCCACAATCAATAGTGTAAAGGCGCCCTCACAATGGGAAGACCACCACAGTCGTATTGGTGTGTGTGTGTGTGTAAGAGCGCTCGTCAAAGTGTCTCTTGTTTCCTCTAGAGAGAGAGAGAGAGAGAGAGAGACTACACGTTACCCAGCACTAGGTAGACTCGAGCACTTTCTTCCATTCATCAGTCAGGTGATCCAAGCCACTCGTCAGCTGACCAGTGTAAACGACGCTCTCTTGCTCCACTTTAACCAAACCAAAAATAAGGATCCGTGCTGGGATCCTGGGTAAAGGTGACGCAGTGGGGTGAGAGTCCTGAAGGATCATATTATCAAAGACTGATAACTGATGAACGAATTGAGAGGACATTGTCACACACACTTCAGGTACACACAGCCACCGCAGAGCACAGCGCAGCATATAAACTCTAGTATCAGTATTGGGTAAAAGATTAACAAAGATAATGAATGGGTGACACTGATAAATGGACAAACACGGGTGACAGAGTGATACACGCTGGGGCGATAAGTGAGGGCAAATAATGCGGTCACAACACCGTGTTCTACCCGGGGAGGCTTGATAAGGTTGGCTGGTCAAGACGTTTACTCCAAGTGGGTCTATTGACCTTTCTCAGGTGTGTGTGCTGACCGTAAGCCATGTTATCCCTTTAATCTTATTGCTTCATTACCAATAGTATGATATAACTACAGTAGTGTGTGCGTGTGTGTTCCAGCTGGCACTGGTGTACACTTACGACATGCCAACTACCTGTAGCCCAAGTGGTCCATTGAGAAACTTTCCGTGCTGAGAGTTTACAACACACAACTACCTGACCTGCCCTGTAGGCTCTGCCAGTACAGTGTATTACCACCACATTCACATAAAAGCGTAACAATACCTTCAGCGGCGGCAACTTACCACACCGTGTACACTATAATTCATCGTTTATATTTACTTAAAAATCTTTGTCAGTGGCGGTGTCATTTAGGGCGGCAGGGTGACGTTACAAATAAACCAAAAAATTTCAACGGCTGTACAAAGCTATTTCCAGCACACTACACTCCCCCACACAAGGTTACATGATGCAATGTTCAGAGGTCGAATATTTTGCTCAACCTTCTCCGGCCATACTTCGGGTCACGCCTCAAGGGAGAGGTGTTGTTCACACAAGGAGCACCTCTACAATCACATTCCTCAGCTTAAAAGTCGACCCCCCCCCCCCACCGCTCGAGGGTTAGTGCAGGGATAAGATGGCTGGGAGTGAGTGAGGGCAGGGTTTGAGTTACGAGATTCTTAAGCTGGTCTGTGTCTCTCTCGTCCTGCCCCACCTCTCTCCTCCCAGCCGCCCACTGACCCACATATTCTCCACCAGTAACGACAATTAGGATTCCCTCTGGCCGTGCTAGTTGAGGCCACGTGTAGGAGGCTAAGGAGGGAGGAAGGTGTAGGAGGTTAAGGGGGGGGGGAGAAGAGGAAGGGGCGCTAAGGGCACAGAGAGGAGTGAGAGCTTTGAACACACACACAGGTACTATGATGGGGTGAAAACTATGCGGGTGCCCTCCCCTCCACTCTCACCCCATGTCCGTCTTGCTCGTCTCCCACCTTTATCCCTCTCACCCCTACACCACCCAGCCACCAAACACCCCACACCAGTACACACCCACCAACAACAGTACACACAAACCTACACCTCTCCCCGCCACCAGCCATCAAGGTTAAGCCACCAGCGCCCCCCAGTACCCAACACAACCTGTCTTGATACTGCCGCACCCACTGAGCACGAGCCGTAAACCTTGAGAAAAGTGTAATACTAATAATACAGTAAACGGTTTATTAATAGAGTTGCAGCCGGTGGCTGAAAATATATACTATCTCACTCTCGTTATATACTGTCTCTCTCTTGATATATACAGTCCCCCACAGTCCCCTTACGACCTCAGGCCAGTTGCCATTACCCCCATACCCACTCTACTCTGTGAAGACTGTTTTTGAGTGGGCATTTGCTCGTATTTATCGGTCAATTGATCCACAGCAATTTGAGGACCTCCTCTACATCACGCTGCTTAGTTAGTTTCCTGGATTTACTGCACAAAAACCTGCAGAAACGTAAGGCATCACTGGCCGTTGCCCTTGTTGACTTCAGGAAGGCTTTTGACCTTGTTGATCACTGCAAGGTTATCAACAAGGCCATTGCCTTATGGCTGCCCACCAACCTGGTCTCATAGCTCACTGATTTACATAAGAACATAAGAAAATAAGTAGTCTGCAATAGGCCGGTTGGCCAGTGCATGGCAGCTCCTGTCGAGAGTTACTACCACTCTCTATCATCCATGAATCTATCTAGCCTCCTTTTGAAACTTTCCAGCGTTCCAGCACTTACTACAAAGTTGCTAAGCTTGTTCCACTCGTCCACCACCCTATTTGTAAACCAGTTTCTTCCTATCTCCCTCCTAAACCTAAACTTATCCAACTTAAATCCGTTGCTCCGAGTCCTATCCTGCTCGGATATTATAAGAACTTTATCTATATCTCCTTTATTGATTCCTTTCACTCACTTAAATACTTCTATCATATCTCCCCGCACTCTTCGTCTTTCTAGGGAATGCAAGTTTAGTTTCTTTAACCTATCTTTATATGGAAGGTTTCTACGTCCCGGAATCATTTTCGTCATTCTTCGCTGCACCGACTCTAGTGAATTGATATCCATTCTATAATAAGGGCACCAGAACTGAACCGCATAATAGAGGTGCGGCCTGACTAGCGCAAGATATAATTGCAATGAGACCTCTGCACTCTTATTACTTACACTTCTAGATATAAAACCCAATACATGTACTCTGTTTGCCTTATTTCGAACATTAACGCAGTTTTCTAGGCCGTAGGTCCGGGCTTACAAGTACCCCCTAAGTCTCTTTCACAAGTCGACTTCTCTAAGTTGATGTTGTTAAGGCTGTATACAATGACAGTATTTGTTCTTCCAATATTAAGTACGCTGCACTTGCTGGTGTTGAATTTCATTTGCCATTTTTCAGACCACCCCTGCAGTTTATTTAGATCCTCCTGTAGTGCATTTGCCTCCTGCCCTGAATTAATCTGCCGCCCTATTTTGGTGTCATCCTCAAACTTGCTTATGTCACTGCTGATCCCAGTATCTAGGTCGTCTATGTAGATTATGAACAAAAGTGGGCCTAGTACTGACCCCTGGGGAACCCCACTGGTTATACAGCCCCATTCAGATTTAACACAATCTACGCTGACCCTCTGCGTTCTATTGGTGAGCCATGATTTTATCCAATTTAAAACTTTCCCCTCGATACCATGAGCCTTAACTTTTCTCAGAACCCTCTGATGCGGTACTCTTTCAAATGCTTTGCTAAAGTCTAAGTAAATAACATCATAATTTTCGTCATAACGACAACAACCATACATGGTTCCCAAAAAGTTACCAAATCTCAAAAGGTCCATTACCACCCCCGATCTACACGGCCAGGCAATAGACAACCTCCCTGGACCAGCTTCCGCCAGTAGGGTCGGCGGAATATGAAATAAGGCCCTTAAAACACCCATATATGGGACAGGGTAGGATGTCTAGTGCCTGTACCGACAGACAATAACTAACCCATGACACAACCCTAACACACTATTAGCTTAGCTAGGCGGTCAGCCCGCCCTCTCTTACCTCCTCCTAAATTTCTTCAATTTCCGAACTAGAACTTCCTTCCCTCACCTCTAATCTTCTTTCACCCCTCCTCTGTCTACAAAAAAAAAGTGATGGGGGAGAGACAGGGAGGCAGGAAGTGAGGGGAGGGAGAGACAACAGGAGGTGAGAGGGGAGGTAAGGAGGGGGAGAGGAGCAAAAGAAAGGGGCTACACCAGCCGAGTTAATTCCGAGGCTGCAACAACTGACACCTCCCTCGCAACCTACCTGACCTACACCTGACACCTCCCTCGCAACCTACCTGACCTACACTGCCAGGTATACCACACTGACCTACACCACAGCCTACTATACTGACCTATACTGGTATCTCCTACTTTTCCAGTAAACTGTGAGGGCGACATCGTCACCTGGTGGCTGACTGGTTGTGGTCGAGCAACAGTTAATGAGTGTGTAGAGCTTGTGGTAAAGTCAGATGATTCCTTCGTCAAGATAAAGGGGAGTGGAGGGGGGGGGGATATATAACTGGTCAGTCTTGTTTCTTTGTTTGTTAATGAACACGGGTGTATGGGCTCCATTTGATAACATCTAGCAGGCAGGTAGGTAGTAACGTGTAGAGCAGCAGCCAGGTGGTGAACACAAGTTATATAATGTCTACTTGATGTTCCTCGTATCACTCAACACCTCATGTGGCAGGAGAGCAGCGAGACACTCTTGGTTCCTGTGTTGTGATGAC